AGAGAGAGAGAGAGAGAATTGTGCCTAAACTGGTTAAATTCTTATGAGATATCTCTCTCTAGTTCAGACCAAATTAGGCATGATAGCAGCTGCTGAATTTTGTACAACATGGAAAAATCAACCTTAATTGTGCATGAAGGAAGCGTATGGTGATTTGCTTCTCCATTATCTTACTTTCCATTCAAAGCAAAGGACCACCTTTCAAAAACTTGCAGGAAAAACCACTCTTTCCTCAAATAACATTCTTCTGGGTTCAAAGCAAACCAATGGGTTCAAACTTTCATGTAAAAAAATAGGAGAATATTCCTTGTCAACAAAAAAAGGAATATTCCCATAAAACCATATGTAATGTAACCTGGGCCATTCATGCACAGTTAAAACACCCTCTTCCAATGCAGCCCACTTGATCTTGTTTTGGCCTTTGGGTTGGCTTGGGTCACTTTCTTTTCAAGGAAAAGTGGAATAGCAATATCATGGTATTTTTTTGGTTGTAGTCATCTTAAATTGCTTATAACTAAAATGTATGAGTTTTTAAAATGAGATTATTGCCATGGGTGTCCCATTTCTATGCACCTGAACCTGTCATATGTATGTAAAATCAAATTGTTTGGGTGTCTCGTTTCAATGCACAGAGTACGCGAAGATTTTTTAGGACATGGAAGTTCACATTTACTATTGTTGAAATATGTCCGTGTATAGCTAACCTAGCTACTCAAATATGATACAAGGATTATATAGTTACTTAAATCCCATAGTTTGGATAATTAGATGTGAAGAATATCTTGGTGATATATTTAGGAGATATTTGGAGAATCAATTTCTTTTTAATTGTTATCTTGTTTCTTCTATTTAATAGTGGATGAATGAAATATTGGGCACGAGAAACTGAAATCCACTTCACGAATAAAAGTTATATTACAGATTTTGGATATAGAGCTACATCTCTAACCCCAACAAACCCAGTCGAGAAAACCCTTTTAGACCCTCTCTCCCGATCGGCATGACCTGCCGATCTCTCATCTCTATTCCACAACAAACCCTTTTAGACTCTCTCTCCCGATCAGCATGACCCGCCAATCTTTTATCTACAGGTAAATCGCTATCTAGGAAGAGACCCATCTCTATCCACAAGTAAACCAGTGTCCATGAAGAGACTTCTCCATTCCATAGCTAAACCATTGTCTAAGAGGATAATTTTACGAGCAACCGAGATTTTCTCTCACTAAAAAGGGAAACTTCCCAAAATCTTCATGCGAACCACTTCTCCATAAAAAATCGGCCTCTCAATCTACAAGAGACATATCGGGGCGTTTCTCTCCATAGGAAGCTCTCTTCTCTCAGAAAGGAAGGTCTTGCCTCTCATGAACAAGAAGCCCCTGCCTCTCTCCAGAAGAAGCCACCTTTCCTCTATGGTGACCCAAATATGCCACAAGAAAGTCAATAATCACAAAACCCTTGATACAAGAAAGTCACAATCACCATTGGCCATTGGTGGGAGATTGGGTAGTTAGTATAAATCATTGACTAGACTCAAAGTTCAAGAGAAATTTTTTTAAAAAACATGTGAAACACCCAAGGGTGCCATATATATATCCATTTTCGATATGTACCAATTTTTGAGTTTTAAATTTATAATTAGATGTTTTCATGTCGTCATTGGAATTTTCAACACCAAATTACATCCTTTGATGAACTTTGGAGATGCGTCTTAATTGGATTGTCTACAATAATGTTTGAAAAATTGGTGGTTTGATCTGGATTCGAGTAATCCGGATTGGGTATCGACTAGACCGTTTCGGCTTAATAATTGTATAGATATCCAGACATGAAAACAATGTCTCATTATTCACCTATTTTTACAAAATAATGAAAGTACAAAATGCACCACTCTTAATTAATTTTAGAAACTAAAGGAATACTATTTTTAGATATTTTTTTGAAAAACTTTTGGGACAAAAATTACCTATTCACCCGATTATCTGAACCGATCCACCGATTCACCGATCCGACATGGGTATGGGTGACACCGATCCGTTTTTTTAAATACTAGTTTACACTTAACACTTTATACAAACCACACCTATAGTATGCTAGCTAACAACTACAGTAAGTGCCTAATGGCTTAGATTGAATTTGGGCCCATCGAATGGTCATGATTACATTTCTTATTTGAATTTTGGTTGTTTTTTATACAAATTCAAATCCCTTAAAATTTGGAGTATCTATTCTTAAAAAAACGATGAGTCTAATAAAATATTTAAAAATAATTCACAAAAATTAAATAGACCAAAATACCCCTAAAATATTTAGGGGTTTTTTAGTTAATTTATTTTTTGTGAATAATTATTTTAATATTTTTATTAGGTGTATATTGGTGAGAGGAGTGGATGCCCCAAATTTTATATAATTTAAAGTTATATAAAAAACTTAAAATTAAAATATGAGATACAGTTGTGACCATCCGATCGGCCTAGATTCAATATGGGCTGTTTGGCTTACACTATTCCACCAGCCCATGGGCTGTATATATATATATATATATGGGATGATCTACAATTTACAATAATTCAAATTACAAAGGTTAATGAGTGAGTTGTGATAGGTGGTTTTATTAAATATGATTTTTTTTAAAAAAAAAAATATCTTGTTCATTAAACAAAGGTGTTTATATAAATATTACCAAAAGATAACGGGTACTTTTATTATTTTTTGTAAAGGATAAAATTGAAATTCTTACTAAATGACAAGAATACTCTACAAATAAAGTTTCAGAACACTTAAAAATAGTCATGAGTGAATTTCTATAGTATTTTGATCGCAGCTGATCATCATACAAAGTCCATCATAGGGTCATGATTATTAGATTGTGTTTAAAATTTAATAATTTTTCTATAAATTATATTCATCTTAAATTTAGGGCATATGTACATCTAACAAATTAGCACCTAAATAAAATATTAAAAATAATTATAAAAAATTTAATACCCCTGAAAATTTAAAAGCGTAAATTGGATATTTTTATTATTTGAATTATTTTTTAATATTTTATTTAGGTGTGCCCAACTAAGGTGCACACAGCCATGAAATTTAAGATCAATTTTATTTATAAAAAATTATTACCATTTAAATAATGTTAGACAATTATGAACATCTGATAGACTTTGAACACTAATGTGCCATGAGTAAAATAATGTAGAACTTCACTTTTATATATATATATATATATAGGCTACTCATGCTTATAGGGTAATTCCCTTAACCTACTCGATATTACGGACATTTGATACACTTAACCAATTTAAAAACTTTTTATTCAAAGATAATTACAATAGTTAATCAACGATGTAGTAGAATTTCTGGAAGAAATAGATATAAATGATAATTGTTATATGGAATGAGATTGCTCACATTGGGGTGTGAAATCACCCCACATATATCAGATTTACTTTTAATTTCTTCTAAAATGACACTAGTCTCTTTTGAAAATATCTTTTTACACCCCTCACTAATAGCAAGAAAAAATCAATTACTCAAATAATTTTCGCATCAAAAGTAAAGTTAAGAGTGCACAAAGGTTGAGTAGGTTAAGGAATACTCCTTGGTAGGGAGTAGCCAGCCATACTCAATGGCCAATATAAAAACTCTTTCACTCACAATATTATAATAATTAATCAATGGTTAAGTAGAACATTTTTGTTTAACTAAATGTATTTATTAAATATTGTAGAAATTACAGTATTTACATGGGTTGATATTGTTTATATGGGGCGTGATATTATTCAGGTGGGATATAAGATTATGCATGTTTAATATTATTTATTCTTTTCATTAAACAATAAAACTATATTATTATCTTTTAAAATTATACATTATACCCTTCACTAACGACAAACAATGTTATTCCTCAAATAATTATTGTATTTAAAATTTAAGGTAACACGTATCCAGTGAATGTTGAGTACATTGAAAAATTATTGTACAGAAAAGAGTTGTGCCATGAAACCGATTTATAGTTACAACTGAAATACAAAGTTAACGAGTTTTCTGTATTTTTTTTTAAGGGATTGTCTATAAAGATACCATATTATCTTTTATACATGGAAGTCACATTCAGTCTCTTATTATATCTCAAATTGAATGACTCGAGATGAGTCACAAAATCTGAGAATTTTTTTTAGAATGATGTGTCCATTCAATAACACTCTTAAAACCACCCATTCTGAAATTTAAAAGGAAAAAAATGATTATGATCGCTATATACAAAAGACAAATACTGTCTTTGTATAAAATCTCTCAGTTA